CAACTCCCGCGTGGAGGCACGAAACAGACATAGTAAACTACGGCGCTAATGTCCAAATGACGTTAGGCAGAGTAGCACTCATATAGTGTGACTCGCGATCTAGGGTACACAACTGCTTCCTCACGCTGGCAGGCTGTGGCCCGGAGATATGGAGGCGTGGCAGTGCAGCACGAGGATTCCAAATGAAAGGCCGCTGTCGGTGGCAGACAGCAGATACGACAGATGTACGATTATTGTACTAAATCGACTGTTTGATGCAGGCTCTTCGGTTCGTACATAGTTGGCGGGTAGCGGAACGGCCTCCAGTGGGAGCTGGCTGTGAAATGCAGATGAGCTCTCGGTCTCAGTCGCGGGTCACGTAGCAGTGATACCGTAGAAAACCAGTTAACCCGGAAGGGATCCTCTGAGATACCAGCTCTCGAGCATTGACCTTCAGTGTTGATGGGACCATCCTCGGCCAATGGTGTGGTAAGCAGTCGCCGTTGCAGCTAGTTCAATGACGCATTTCGTTTATCAAGGGGAGGCCTGTTCGGAATGCTGCATCTATTTGCCCCTGCTCAGGTTGGTCTAGATGCAGTGGAGACCGACCATGAGTAGACGGATGTGGATGGTTAAGGCAGACTTAAGGCGGTTGCAGCGAAGCTTGACAGTCTTTGGAGTTTGAAAACAGAACTTCACCAGGTCATTTGGGTGTAACAGGCGCACGCATTTCCCTGATGCTGTGGATCGCAGAACCCCGCACTAATGACGGTAGAAGACAAAACTCACTCGACACGAAACAAGACACAAAACATGCAAAGAACAATGCCACGATTCACGCAGTTTCCCGCGCATATTTCCCACTGCATAATTTGGATGAAGATAACACAAGTTAGGCACTACTAGGACGATCTCCTCCTGTATAATATAGATTAATAAAGGTACCCTTAAGGGACTGGAAATAATAAACGAGCACAAAAAAACGATGAGAAAACATGTGATGGTTCAGAATTTTGGCAAAAAATGTTGAAAAATAGCCAACGAGATGGCTATTTTATAGTTATTGCTACTTACTTAAGGCACAGGCAGGCGTGGAAAGTATATTCTGTTTTGATCGAAGGAAATGCGTACTTTCTTCGAAAATGTGGATTTATGTAAACATTGTTTGCTCAGTCAAGAAGCTGTAATCGATCACTCAGACAGAAATATGAGTATTTTCAAAAATATGTGCTCCAAGACGGTCGAGATATCAGGTAAAATTCCGTATTCAACAAGTTAGAGGCTAAACGTTGCACCAGAATGTACCTTACCGCGAACTGCTCCACAATTTCAGTGCAGAATAAAAACAGGACACGGCTTCTGAAAAATCAGGAGAACAGCAGTTTACAGAAGGTGTCCGCACTGCCGTACGGTGGCCCTCCTTCCTGTGCAACTGGCTGGAATGCCAGTCTGGGAATGTGCATGTCCTGGCATGCGTGTTACGCCGGCCAGCGCACATGTAAACGTCAATCCTTTCAAAAGATCACACACAATTATCAGGCATTCTAGGCTCGGTTACGGACTTGGCAATCATGCGAGGCATCAACGAAATAGTTAACGTTTGTGTTGGTTTTGCCATTGTTTACGAGTAGCTCATAGCCATCAATCACGACAAGCCTTGTTCGTTCAAATTGCACCTCGCAGGAGAAAGAGACAAAGCGTT